TTCCCCAGGTCCCCGTTATTCCTGTTGAAATCAGGGACCAATGATTACCCTAGAAAAAGGCTAGTCAATTTGTCCTCCGAAGCCAGGTCCAAACCGTTTTGTTTTATTTATTTATTTATTTATTTTCATTACATTTCAGAGTTGGTCCAAAAATTCCATAGGGGTTTCTTTTAGACCTTGTTGGAAGCATATTCTCAATTCCCAATTCATCCATATTTTAGTATTTACTTAGCCGTTCATAATTTTAGGGATGATTAGGGTCTCAGTGGGGTCGGTCAGGGGAATGCAGTTGTTCACAGTTCCCTGAGCGGTCCCATCGGTAATCTGAGCTCGCACATGAACTCAGGTTGTTTTAAGAGTTAACTGCTTTTCTGTTTCCATAACAACTCTCTCTCGGACCCATCATGATCTCTTTGCCCCAAAGGGCTAACACCCATGATTTTAAGATCTCTGCCTAGAGCAGAGGCAGAACTATTAACATTCCTACATCCTCTTTCCCTGCTCATTCAACTTCAAACACCTTTAACACTTTCAACAACCCTTTTAACACTTCCTTTATCTTTCTCCAGCCTGTACTTCTCTAATGCCAACATCAAAGGCTCAGTCAGGGGCCAACTTAATTCCGTACCTTTTCCCACCAAGATGCTGAAACAACATCAGTATACAACATTTCATCCTATTCTCCTTCTCAAAACCAACATTAACTGTAGCAAACAATATTTTATCAATGTTTTCCTGTTCACACTTCCACCGGCAGATCCTCCAATATCCTTCCAGTGACTCAAAACACATCCTAACGCACTTTTCTTAGGAATTTCACTGCTTACTCGCCCCCCCATTTTCCAGTTTACACTTTCAGAATACACGTGTTACTTACAAAAGCGTATCACAAAAACGTATCACTCACAAAATTACAGGCACGCAATATCTTTCAGTAGCGATGTCACAAAGCTACTATTACCAGCAATATTGCTAAAATCACAATAACAATAGTCAGAGTCAAATTCCACATGCGATAAGTCAGAAAACCGAACTGTGTAACACCATAACGATATCTTTCTTATAACAATGCCACGAACCTACTATTACCACCAGAAAAATAGCCAAAATCACAGTAACAATAACCAGAGTTAAATACCATACTCCATGAGTCAGAAAACCGAAATAAACAACACAATTCCAGATGGACCTTAAAGCGAGCTCTTTCCTTAAGGTCCCCAAATATACTTATGGTGCTTACCACAAAGTATATACCAAACACTGCCTCGCAGAAGATCACCTTCTGACTTACAGACAGTTCCAGATACAGATGGACCTCAGGGTCCCCAGATATACTTGTGGTACTAACCACAAAGTATATACCAAACACTGTCCTGCAGAAGTCACCTTCCGACTTACTGGACAGTCCCAGATGACCGGTCTACCAGAAAACCAAACCAGAATAAAGAATATACTCACTTACAATGATGGGGTCCTTGTCTGCCTCCGCAGTGATCCGGTGAGTCGAGGAGTCCCTCCGGGAAATCCCGGGGGTACCCTAGGGAGTCCTGTCCCCAGCGGGTCCTGCGGACCGGCAGAGAGGTAGTCCCATCTGGGGTGCCAGATTGATTCAAAGATCGAAGCCGAAATTCCTTTAAGTGGTATATTCTTTATTGCAGCGCTGGATGCACGGGGGATCTCTCCACCTATCGTGCATACCCAAAGCGGAAAGCAGTCTTGAATTTATACAATCAATCTATCAATATTCTACAAGCGCCTATACATATGCATTACCTATCCCCGCCTTCCCTCGCTTCTCATGCTAATTAGCCTTTTGGCACCTTGCGCCTGCGTAGAGCCTCCCAAGAATTGTGGGCAGGGGTCTTTGGGACGTGGGCAGGGGTCTTTGGGAGGAAGACCCCGAGTCTTCCTCACAGTGTACTTTTCACCTTTGGTCAGGAATCTGCTGAATTGGCACGTTTCTTAATTGCGAGAGCTGGTTGTTGCCAATTCTTCCGTTTGTTGTATCTTTATAATGAATTCCAATGTCCAATTTTGAGATTTATAGTCCTTACGTTTGTTTCTGTGTCCGTCTGCCGCTTCCTTATCATGAGTTCCAGTGTCTTGTTTCGAGATATACAGTCCATGTCTGGGGATTGTCCTTGCCTCCCCAATACCTCCCCAATACCTCCTTAATCACTGTGCCAGTATCACTCAGCAGTAGACACAACACTGGTGTGATACCAGTGCTGTTCTAGCTACAGGTGCAGAGCACAGCACTGTATGGGCTGCTGCAGGGAAAGTTAACTCCATCCCAGCCAGACCCAGTACAAGCAGGTAATAGTCTGGAGGCTGTATTATGCTTGAAAGCTTCCTGGTAACATCCCTGATCTGAGCCCTGGGGACGCAGCAATCTTCTCTGAGAAGAGGGTTTGGTCTGCACATGGGAGCCTCTGTTCCCTTCAGAAAGGGAGTCACCTATGACTACAACTTGCCACTGTTTCTTCACAGCACTGGTTTTGATGCCTCTTCTTCCATCTTCTCACATCCCTCATCTACCATACCAGAGCCTCATATCTATTCAGTAATGGAAGCTGAGTGGATGGACAGGGGATCCTCTTATGACTTACAACTCCCACAGGCGTGCTTGCTGTTGTCCTCCATCTCAGGGAGTAGCCTCAGGCACGCCTGAGAGCTGGGTGGTTGCATGAACTGCCAGGAGCTCTGTCAGGGTGGTTGTGTTAGTTCTACCAGGTTGCAGAGGAATGGAAGCAGAGGGTGTGGCTTTCTGTCAAGTGGTCACCATGTCTGTGCCTCCTTGCTGCCACAAACCTGACAGAATGTTGTTTAATACGTTGCTGTTGGTTGAGGAGGCCATCAGGGCTGCAGCCCAAGCCTGCTGGTGAGCAGAGCAGGCAGCAGCCCTCCTACTGCCAGAATGTGCTGCCCTTCTTGCATGCCCTTCTGCACAAACTGTCACACCCTCTCTGTCCCTGCTTACAAATACTGTTTGTGACACTCCCAGTCAGTTCTTGGAAAAACTTCTGTCTTAACTAGAATTAAGTACAGTTGACTGTTTGGATGACTTTGGTGTTGAGCAATCTGCATATAAAGTTCAAGAGTGAGGAATAATTATTTACATTTTTAAACTGAAAGGAAAACGTTTATAAAAAGGAATCATGCTTAAACTATGTATGCTGTGTATGAGCTGAACAGCTAAAGATACTGACAAAGATCTTTGTGCTTTATGCTACAATAAGAATAAAAAAAATGGCTTGTACTTGGGTCATTAACATTACAGAATTGTTTCAGTACATCTTTTCAAAATAGACTGATCTTTTAAAAGTGCAAATAAACTATTTGGTTAATGATTATATCTGTGGTGTGTATTATATTGCCTAGATTGCTTTAGTCTTTGATCAGAACCTTTGTTTTATAAAAAAATTACTACTTCAAACATTTTAAATACTAAGTATAAAACAATAAGCAAGAAACATTGAAGTAGAATGGGTGGGGAGTGGGTGCACTATCCGCTGATATAATAAAAAGATTTGGCCATCTGTTTTGATACGCATTGTAGAGAAGAGTTTAAAGGAGAATGATATGTCAGTTTTGCAGAGTTTTACGGGGAGCTGAAACCAAACGTGGAGGAAGCAGCAGTCACATAATCTCAGAAGTCCACTTTGAGTTTAGGTAAAGATTACTTAGTGGTAGCAGGCTGGAAAGTCATATAGCACACAGGTGTTTACACCCCAATAGTGATTAAGAGCAGATATTATAGACGTGGACCATAGATAGCTTTCAAAGCGAAATAATACAGTACATAAACTGTATATATAAAATCAAGCAAATCACTAAAAGTAGTAATATTATAAATAAGCTGCAGAGGATCACAGAATTGTAGGGGTTGGAAGGGACCTCGAAAGATCATCGGGTCCAACCCCCTTGCCAAAGTAGGTTCCTTAGAGCAGGCTGCCCAGATAGGCGTCCAGATGGGCCTTGAATATCTCCAGAGAAGGAGACCCCACAACCTCCCTGGGCAACCTGTTCCAGTGCTCCGTCACCCTCACCGTGAAGTTCTTTCGCATGGTGGTGCAGAACTTCCTGTGCTCTATCTTGTGGCCATTGCCCCTTGTCCTTTCCCCACAAACCACTGAAAAGAGGTTGGCCAAATCCCTCTGTCTCCCACACCTCAGGTATTTATACACATTGATGAGATCCCCTCTCAATCTTCTTTTCTCCAGGCTGAACAGACCCAGGTCTCTCAGCCTTTCCTCATAAGGAAGATGCTCCAGGCCCTGTATCATCTTTGTGGCCCTCTGCTGAACTCTTTCCAGGAGATCCCTGTCTTTTTTGTACCCAGGAGCCCAGAACTGGATACAGTACTCCAGGTGAGGCCTGACCAGGGCAGAGTAGAGGGGGAGGATTACCTCTCTTGACCTGCTGGCCACACTCCTTTTAATGCCCGCCAGGATCCCATTGGCCCTCTTGGCCACGAGGGCACACTGCTGGCTCATGGTCAGCCTGTCATCCACCAGGACCCCCAGGTCCTTCTCCTCAGAGCTCCCCTCCACCAGGTCGTCCCCCAGCCTGTACTGATACATGCGGTTGTTCCTTCCCAGGTGCAGGACTCTACACTTGCTCTTGTTAAACCTCATTTGGTTTCTTCCTGCCCATCTCTAGCCTGTCGAGGTCTCGCTGAATGGCAGCGCAGCCTTCTGGCGTGTCAGCCCCTCCTCCCAGCTTTGTGTCATTGGTGTACTTGCTGAGGGCAGACACTATTCCCTCATCAAGGTCATCGATGAAGATGCTTTTCTGCAGAGAAGCAATACCCTTTATGATTTATTATTTACAGCCGTTTCCCACACCCACACACTTTCCTGAGAAAAAGCCACATCAAAAAAAGTTTTTTTTTTTCTTTAATATATTTTTAATTGTATACCAAAGTTCAGTAGAGATGGGGTTTTGACTGCATACAAGTTACTCAAAAATTGTATCTAGGCAGAGATTCATTAGCAATCTGACATATTTCAAAGGATAGGTTTATTCAATCAGGCCACAAAAATAATATTGTATACAAACAGTAACTAAGAAGAGCTGCAGGTTCAAGGAGTTTTCAATTACAAGTTTTGAGAACTCATCAGGAAATAAATTCAAATATAAGTCACAATATAAAATAGCAGCTCCATATAGCTTTTTCAAGTTTTAACTTAATTCAGAGTGACACTTGGTTCAGTTTGCCTCGTTCTTTGAAGCTTCATCAAAGTTTTCAACAAGATCTAGAAAAAGAAACATTGATATTAGAGTTTGATCCGCTTCTGCTTTGCCACACTTTTTTTTCCTGAAGTTCTACCTCATATCAAGCACTTAAAAGGTTAAAAAAAGAAGTCATCTTATAAAATACAGATCAAATAATGTTTAAGAGCTCCAGGGTTCATTCTTTATGCCAAGAAGTTTTAGAATTATGCATTATAATGAACCACCTACTATCATTTAACTTTACTATACCCACAACTAAGCAAAGTGATACTAACAAGGCAGTTTCTTCCCAGCCTTCTTATTGAAGATGAAATAATTAACTTAGCCATAGTTATTACTCTTCCACAGGACAAATGCTACCTCAAACCAATGGTTCACCCAGTCTCACAGTGTCTGAAAACAGATACGTAACCCGTTCAAATTCTGTAACGAGAAGTGACTAGTCAATACTCCTTCTGTCCTTGGCCTAACCTTATGCTACACATGTTCTCTCTCAGAAAATCACTTCCTTAACCTCCATTTCATGTTGGTTCTTACCTGGAACTTCATCATCATCTTCACCAGTAGCAAGTGGTGCTTTCTCATCCACAGCTGCAAGAGCAAGTAGTTTCAAAGCATTATTCAAGCTCACCATAGGCATCTTGATTACAAAGTTCTTTGTTTTGTTTTGTTTTTTGGAAAACATTTGCTAAGAGTCTGAGTTAAGCTGCAATGCTCTAAACAATTCCCCTGCTAAATAAACACAACTAGCCTAGGAAGCTCACATTCCCTTTGTTACTGATCATGCTCAAACTCTGGAAATGCGAAGATGCATGCTAGAAACAGTTTGCTAGTTACTATCCTGTACCTTGAGCCATTGAGCACTTTGTAGCTGAAAATGAACTTCTGACTACTCAGAGGTTCTCAAAGCTTATTTATTTTACAACATCAACAATTTATAAGGAAAAGAGATGAGTCCTTATGATCCTTGGCCTTCAAGAAAAATTAAGGTGTAATTTTGAAGCTGTAGGCAGACAGCTATAACTAAAGGCTCTTAAAGATCATCTTGTTCCCTGGAAAAGTCAGAGGAATATGAAACTAGATGCACAATTTTACACTTAAGCAATTGAGGTAACCACGTGTTTTGGTCCACATCTCTGCAAACTCAGTCACTATTCCCATTTACTGTAGATACTGGGACTTAAACATGTCCAATGTAGCAGGCCAATTAGTATCCGTGAAACCGTGGCACTCTAATGCTAGGAATAGTTAACTCAGGTCCCTGGGTGCCTGTGCCACTACTACTACTGCTATTTTTAGTAGTACTACCTAGGTTAAGCTGTCCCACATTTTCAATCATCTCAGTCTATTCTAATTAATCCTTCCCAGTTTTCAAGGAAAACATGAGGAAAGATGGGTTTATACCTGACTTCTAAAAATCAGGTTACAGTGATTTCAGAGAACTAGGCCAAATCAATGCAGAAACTTTGGTCTGAAAGGGCTTGTGATGAGGTCATCACTAACTCTTTGTTTTTAACAGCAGAAAGCTGGTACCATATTATTTCCTCCTAAACTGTCTGCATTTTTCTCTCACCCCTAAAACCAGACTAAGTTTCCTTTAGCACCTACAAATAGTCATCTCAGATTCTTCACTCTTTTGATGTCAGGCTTCCAAATCTAGCAGACAATGCTGAATGGAAAGTTTTGTACAACTACTTCAACATCCACCCAAAGTAGAAAAAAATAGCCATTTACCAAGTCATACAAAAGGAAGCACTTTAAACAAGCTTCCCTAATACTAAAACTGCACAATTTAGCTTATCCCATTTTGTTACGAGAAGATATATACCCATTTTGTTATGAGAAGAGAGATCTTAGTGGATCATTTTTAATCCTTCAAGTTTTCTTTCTTTCAAGCCCTGCTACTATCACACAGAAGCTACAGAGATGACATTAGGAAGGAGGGACCTGAGCTGCACAGGGAAAGAAGCAGTTTACCACCTCCTGAAAACTACTTCTAGTGGGATTTTTTTTCAGTAGGAAGTTAACAGGAGGGAAGTAACATCAACTTTAGGAATGGAAAAAGAGGCTGTCTTTGCTGGCAACAAAGCACAGAAAGAAGTGTAACAATCAAGTTCATTACTACCAAAAACTGGACACCTTGATAAGCTTCTTCATTTTCTCTGTGTTTCAGAAGTCCATTCCTTCCAAGGTATGGAACAAAGTATTTGAGAACAGAAAGTGGGAAGACCCTACCTGCAGGACATGAGGAACGTTCCCAAGTGTCTACAAGCCTTTTTCCTCCCAATTCTTGACCTATAGCAGTACCACCTTTTCCAAACACTACATACTTAAGTTTCTCCTCTACTTTTCCCACACAATTCTAGAGAGAACCTGAATGTTTGTTCTTTTACTAATGTAAGGATGGAATAGGAAGTTGGCATATCCAGCTTAATGTTCATACCAGTCCTGTTCTCTACACTGTCCTACACACATACAGAAATTATAACGTTTTCATATAAGAACTGTGTAATTCCCTCTTAGCTATCAAAAAGCCCACACAAGAAATACCTTCATCATACTTGTGAGGGTGCAAAGCATTACCAAGATGCCTGTCCTCAAGTCACTCAAGTTTCCATTCAAAGTGGAAAAGACAAACATATTCAAAATATATCTTTTAAGAACTTAACTCTTCCAGAGTTAAATACGGTAGCCACATCAAGAAGTAAACTACCATGAAATCAACTCTAGCAACAACTTTCTAGACCTAGAACAACTGCAGGATATACTGAGAAACAGGTGCATCTGCTTTATTGTTATATGCTTTGTTGGATTTGAGCTATAAATAAGATCTGAGTTCCATTTCTTTATAATCACATTAAAATACGTTTGCAGAAAGTAGGAATGCACTGAATTTCACTGCAGCTATACAAGTAAGCCTACGAATGCATTTCATGCTGGTAGCAGACAAGTTTCAACTTACATTGCTTGGGTAGGGCTTCTGCCAATCTCCTCAGGCTGGAGAGACTGTCAGCTCCAAGCTGATTTAAGATACTAGGAAGCATTTCTGTCAGCTGCTTTGTCTCAGCATGGCCAGTAATAGTGAAAGTGTTAGCAGACAGAGATGCCTGAACTTTAGGGTTATTGAAGTGAATGACTGTTCCTTGGTTGGTAAACATATTTACCTGAAAGAAAAAAAATATCCAATACATTTCAAGCAGTTTGGCATAATTTTTCAATTTAACAGGAAACTAGCTGAAGTTCCTAGAGCTCAATAAAGACTTACTAATATACTTAAACAGACCAGATTAAGATATTACTTACCAGAAAATTAATATTGATACATTTTATATTTCTATATAGAAAATTATTTTCCCCTTTGAAGCATTTACCTCTTCAATACCAGAAATATTGTTGACTCCCAGTTTCTTCAAAGAAAACTGAAGTTTCTTGTCATCTCCTGTAGCTGTTCTGTGGACAACCTTCTTCTTTCTGCGGGCAGTACCCTTTGCATAAAGTAAAATAAAATTAGTATTTAAGTAGTTCTTCACAAACTCTAATCCTCAGAGCCACATAACTTCTCTGCAGTCATCTACAAATCAACTTAATATACAAAGTCCAATTTCTGTGTTATGGCACACACCACTCCACCCTTCCAACCACACTGTAGCAGTCTTTCCCTTCCTATAAGGCAAGCTTTGCATGCTCCTGAGAAGCGTGAAGTTTTTAGAAAGCAATGAACTAGAGAACCTTTATGTTGAGGGATTTCTTGAAACAGCAAAAATCTCATGGCCTGCTGTAGCTGAGCAAACCAAGCTACCAGAGTAACTGTGAGAAGCTCCCACGGCAATGACTCCCACATCGCCCAATTAAGGAACTCAGAAAAATATTGTTACCAGCAGCTGGCCTCAAGGACAAGGTCTACGTGACTGCTAATCACAAGGGGGGTTCTTTTCTTGCAGGTGGGGTTGTTTTTTTGTAGCTGTTTGTCTGAGTGCTTTTGACCAATAATCTTGTGTGAAACACTGTCCGCCCCTGTTAAGTTCACTATAAAAGTTAGGCTATTCGGGCAATAAAATGAAGCTTGCTGATCACTCATATTGAGTGTCCCTGTCTTCCTTCCGTCGACAACACCTTTATTCCACAATTCTCATGGGAATTCTGCAGCATCGTACTTAGAAAAGAAAAATTGCAACTTTTCCCTCAACTGTTATCATAGGCATAAAACCAAAGACTGAGGACAGTCTTCTTTAATTTCTAAGACCAACCTTCTATGATGACATGACTAGCTGGATGGACAAGGGGAGAGCAGTGGATGTTCTCTACCTTGATTTCAGTATGGCTTTTGACACTGTCTCCCATAACGTCCTCACAGACAAGCTCAGGAAGCGTGGGATAGATGAGTGGTCAGTGAGGTGGACTGACAATTGGCTGGAGGGCAGAGCTCAGAGGGTCATGATCAGTGGCACTGAGTCCAGTTGGAGGCCTGTAGCTAACAGTGTCCCCTAGGGGTCTGACATACTGTGTTCAGTGACATTCAATTTATTCATCAACAACATGGATGGTGGAACAGAGTATACCCTCAGCAAGTTTGCAGATGACACAAGACTCGGAGGAGTGACTGATAGCCCAGAGGGCTGTGCTGCCATTCAGAAGGACCTTGACAGGCTGGAAGGTTGGGCTGAGAGGAACCTCATGAAGTTCAACAAGGGCAAGTTCAGGGTCCTGCACCTAGGAAGAAATAACCCCAAGCACTAGTACAGGCTGGGGGCTGACCTGCTGCAGAGCAGCTCTGCAGAGGAGCCTGTGAGTCCTGGTGGACAGCAGGCTGGCCATGAGTCATCAATGCGCCCTTGTGGTCAAGAAGTCCAACGGTATCCCGGGGTGCATTAGGAAGAATGTTGCCAATAGGTCAAAGGAGGTGATCCTGCCCCACTATTCAGCCCTGGTGAGGCCTCAACTGGAGTACTGTGTCCAGTTCTGCCCCCAGTACAAGAGGGGCATGGAGCTCCTGAAGTCAGCCCAGCGGAGGGCTACGAAGATGATAAGGGGACTGGAGCATCTCTCATACGAGGAAAAGCTGAGAGAGCCAGGCCCATTTAGCTTGGAGAAGAGAAGACAGAGGGGATCTTATCAACATATGCAGATATCTGAAGGGAGGGTGCACCAAGAGGATGGGGCCAGACTCTTTTTTTTTCCAGTGGTGTCCAACAACAGGACAAGAGGCAACAGGCACAAACTGAAGCACAGCAAGTTCTATCTGAACATCAGGAAGAACTTTTCTGTGCAGGTCACAGAGCAGTGGCACAGGTTGTGGAATCTCTTTCTCTGGAGATATTCAAAACCTGCCTGGATGTCATCCTGTGCAACACACACTAAGTGACCCTGCTTGGTAGGGGGGTTGGACCAACCTCAACCATTCTGTGATTCTGTAATTTGTCTTTAGATCAAATTAAGCTAAAATGTGGAAGACTACAACACAAAAATTTAGTCTTTTGTCTAGAAAGCTTGATGTAGATTCCCTGTTCCCTGACAGTAATGAAAGAAATAGCTTCATTCGTGTACCTTGACTACCACACAAATCAAACAATACAAGGCCTATGATGTTAAATTGCTCTGAACAAAAGACTTCTCAATAAGTTCTTACAAATTGTCTTGAATCAAAGGCTATGTAGGAACACATACCTCTTCCCCCACACGCACACCTTTACCTATATTACATACAGATATCAAGATTCAAACAATCTCAAGTTAATTTGAAGTGAATAGCTGCTGCTTTCATCTCTGCAAATTCAAGCTTCTGAAGATCACAGGATTTTAGTAAGCAAATTCTACCCTGATCAAGCTGAGACATGCTGTTCACACCCCTCTACGTCTATACTGAACAATGTGGGTACAGCAGACCAGTCATTTGCCAGTCTTCTAAGAAGGTTTGGAAGAGAAGACATGTTTAGCTGTACCAACACCCTATACAAAAATCTCAAATTACACATAAGTGCAATACCCCTCCACCTAAATATAATATTTGGCTTGTAAGACCTGCAGCCTCGCAATGTCATGAAAATTTTTCAGCAGAGAATGTGCAGCCTTTCCACACAAGGAGAAATTACTCTTCCCCCTTAGCTGATTACTTTGAGCGTGGAGGAGGCAATCTCCATTTATACGGTGACTTTGTCACAAAGAATTCTAGTAATCATTTCCAGCTATAAAACCAACAAACAAAAAACCATCAAGCTCAGACATTCAAAGTATTTCACAGGCCAATTTCAAAGCTGAATGGCAGCATCACCAGCATATTATAAGCATCACTTAATGTCTCTAGAAGACCTATATTGAGCACAGAGTTGTAAGAGCTGCAACCTGAATGCATACTCTTACATGATCAATGACAGAAACGTGTTAGAATACATGTCAGTAACATACACATAATCAACAATATAATAGAGTAGTTCTCTGGTTAACTAGTAACCCATTTAAAGAACATGCAAAATCATCAAGCTAGTTAAAAACTAGTTTTCCTCTGATTTAAAGCTAAGTCTCCAGCTGAAGACAAAAACTTCAACACAGAAATTAAAGCTACTTGAGACTGTCAGTAATAGTTTTGTTGAATAGTTCATATTCCAAAATAGCACATATATATTTCCTCAAATATATAAACTATTATTAATGAGTCCTTGCTAAAAAACTCAAACCGTAACTTAAACATTTGCTAGCATACATATGTTCAAAGTCTTTATTTATTTTTCAGATTATAAGTGTATCCAAATGTCATGATAAAATAAGAGGATCTTCCAAGCACATTATACTTCCTAATTCTATAATAATAAGAGCATGACAAGTACAGAAATTTCAGCTGTCCTAAAAGGCAAGAAAACTGCCGTGGTCAACTTAAGGATGTATGACTTGAATTTGGAACATAACCCTCTATAATTTATTATGAGAGCTATACCTGAGCTCACTTGCTCTAAGGTCTACTTTAAGCCTTAAGTACCTTCTAACTGCCCATATGAGAACATATGCTTCAAGTCAGCTATAACATAGAAAGCTGGAAGTTCAGCTCCTACATTCTGCTTCTACTGAACTTACTAGAGATCACTGAAGCAGGGCAGCTTCCCCTACAGTCAAGTTGAGCTGATAACCCTCAGGACTGCTCCCCACCCAAGCTTTCAGGACCTCGTGTCCCAGGCCCTGCATGTGGGCAGAGACGTGCAGTCTCACAGGCCAGGAGACAGGGAGGGGAGGCGATTCCTACCTTGCCACCAATGCGCACTTGAGCCTGGAGCTTGGCAAGCTTTTCTTGATTCATGATTGTTTCTTTCATCTGCAGAAGCAACAAGAAAGCCTATAAAACAAGCCAGGAAGCACCCAACACCACAAGCCACAGCAACCCAGTGGTGAAGCAAGTATGCATCATAGACTCTGCAGCCACACACCCCCAGCAGGAGAACGCCCCAGCCCCGCCATGGTAGGAGTGAGATAAAAGTCTGCTCGCGCACAGTACCTCAGCCCATAACCGTCTTCCCTCCCCCCCCAGCCACCGCCGCCATCCCCAGACACGTAATGAACCCTCCCAACCACCCCCACGGCCTCCCTTGTACCTTCCCGGGACGAGCACAGCGCTACCAAAACGAGGAAAAACACAAAACCCCCAAACCGGAACACAGGGCTAAATGCAGCCGCGGCAGATACCGAGATGGCGGCCGGAAGGGAGGTACTCCGTGTCGCACAGCACATGTGCAGTCATCTCCTCCTCTGCGGCGGCGGGTAGAGCTGTCACCGTCACCACAGGAGGAGTTGGGGGTTGGTCAGGTGGTGTCGTCCCTGTAGCAAATGCTTGCGGAGATCTTTAGACTCCTGCATGCCGCAGCTCAAAAAGATTTATTTGTACGGTCGAGTGAGGGTGTGAGGCTAAGCCCCTGGCCCCTGGAACGGGATCGATTCTTCCCTGCGTCCGGCTCGATGAGTGGTCCCTAGCACATGGCTGTACCTCTCAGCCCCTTTCTTGCTTTCAGTGATTCAAAGATCGAAGCCGAAATTCCTTTAAGTGGTATATTCTTTATTGCAGCGCTGGATGCACGGGGGATCTCTCCACCTATCGTGCATACCCAAAGCGGAAAGCAGTCTTGAATTTATACAATCAATCTATCAATATTCTACAAGCACCTATACATATGCATTACCTATCCCCGCCTTCCCTCGCTTCTCATGCTAATTAGCCTTTTGGCACCTTGCGCCTGCGTAGAGCCTCCCAAGAATTGTGGGCAGGGGTCTTTGGGACGTGGGCAGGGGTCTTTGGGAGGAAGACCCCGAGTCTTCCTCACAGTGTACTTTTCACCTTTGGTCAGGAATCTGCTGAGTTGGCACGTTTCTTAATTGCGAGAGCTGGTTGTTGCTAATTCTTCCGTTTGTTGTATCTTTATAATGAATTCCAATGTCCAGTTTTGAGATTTATAGTCCTTACATTTGTTTCTGTGTCCGTCTGCCGCTTCCTTATCATGAGTTCCAGTGTCTTGTTTCGAGATATACAGTCCATGTCTGGGGATTGTCCTTGCCTCCCCAATGCCTCCCCAATACCTCCTTAATCATCAGCACCTGTCATTTCCTTTTGTAACTTGTCACCCTGTCTTAGAGTGTTTTTCTGCCGTCATCAGAAATCCTTCATGATTCTTGGAGTATTTATTTTTACTTCAAAAAACAAAAGCAAACAAACAAACAAAAAAAACAAACAAACATACATTTAGATGTAGTACAGAGCACATTCAGACTATGTGACAGTTACCCTTTCTCTTCAGCAGTATGTATTTTTTTGTTTTGTTTTGGTTTTGGTTTTGTTTTTTTTTTCACAGAATCACAGAATTTCTAGGTTGGAAGAGACCTCAAGATCATCGAGTCCAACCTCTGACCTAACACTAACAGTCCTCCACTAAACCATATCACTAAGTTCAACATCTAAATGTCTTTTAAAGACCTCCAGGGATGGTGACTCCACCACTTCCCTGGGCAGCCCATTCCGATGCCGCACAACCCTCTCAGTAAAGAAGTTCTTCCTAATATCCAACCTAAAACACCCCCGACGCAACTTTAGCTCATTCCCCCTTGTCCTGTCACCAGGCACGTGGGAGAATAGACCAACCCCCACCTCACTACAGCCTCCTTTAAGGTACCTGTAGAGAGCGATAAGGTCGCCCCTGAGCCTCCTTTTCTCCAGGCTGAACAATCCCAGCTCCCTCAGCCGCTCCTCGTAGGACTTGTTCTTCAGACCCCTCACCACCTTTGTTGCCCTTCTCTGGACTCACTCGAGCACCTCCATGTCCTTCTTGCAGTGAGGGGCCCAAAAGTGAACACAGTACTTGACGTGCGGCCTCACCAGAGCCGAGTACAGGGGGACAATCACTTCCCTAGACCTGCTGGCCACACCGCTTCTTATACAAGCCAGGATGCTGTTGGCCTTCTTGGCCACCTGAGCACACTGCTGGCTCATATTCAGCTGACTATCAACCAATACTCCCAGGTCCTTCTCTGACAGGCAGCTTTCCAACCACTCATCTCCCAGCCTGTAGCTCTGCTTGGGGTTATTGCGCCCCAGATGCAGGACCTGGCACTTGGCCTTGTTGAACTTCATGCAGTTGACCTCAGCCCATTGGTCCAGCCTATCCAGATCCTCCTGCAGAGCCTTCCTACCCTCGAGCAGATCGACACACGCACCTAACTTGGTGTCATCTGCAAACTTACTGAGGGTACACTCGATCCCCTCATCCAGATCATCGATAAAGATATTAAAGAGGACCGGCCCCAGCACCGAGCCCTGGGGAATGCCACTAGTGACCGGCCTCCAACTGGACTTGACTCCATTCACCACAACTCTTTGGGCCTGGCTATCCAGACAGTTTCTAACCCAACAAAGCATATGCCAGTCCAAGCCACAAGCAGCCAGTTTCTTGAGGAGAATGCTGTGGGAAACGGTGTCAAAAGCCTTGCTGAAGTCAAGGTAGACCACATCCACAGCCTTTCCCTCGTCCACCCAGCGCATCACTTTGTCATAGAAGGAGATCAGGTTCATCAAGCAGGACCTGCCTTTCATAAACCCATGCTGACTGGGCCTGATCACCTGCTTGCCCTGCAAGTGCCACGTGATGACACTCAAGATAATCTGCTCCATGAGCTTCCCTGGTACTGAGGTCAAACTGACAGGCCTACAGTTCTCCGGGTCTGCCCTCCGGCCCTTCTTGTAGTTGGGCGTCACATTTGCTAGCCGCCAGTCAACTGGGATCTCCCCCGACAGCCAGGACTGCTGATAAATGATGGATAGGGGCTTGGCCAGCTCCTCTGCCAGTTCTCTCAGTACCCTCGGGTGGATCCCATCCGGCCCCATCGACTTGCGCACATCCAAGTGCTGTAGCAGGTCACCAACCATTTCCTCGTGTATAGTGAGGGCCACATTCTGTTCCCCATCCCCTTCCACCAGCTCAGGGTACTAGGTATCCAGAGAACAACTGGTTTTGCTGCTAAAGACTGAGGCAAAGAAGGCATTAAGCACCTCCACCTTTTCCTCATCTTTTGTAACAAGGTTTCCCCCCGCATCCAGTAAAGGATGGAGATTCTCCTTAGTCCTCCTTTTCTTTTTCTTTTTTTTTTCTTGGTCTCCTTCTTGCCTCCACTTCCATTTCCTTTGCATGGGCTCAGCTTTGACCTCGGCAGTTTTCACTCCACTGCATATTTCTGGTGCTAGTAGCTGTGTCTCCTTTGGTCTTGCACAGGGCCTCATCTCAATGAGCTATCTTCACTTAACAAAATGTGCCTTGACACCTGTGCCCAGGTCCTGTCTCCTCATCTCTGCACAGCAACTCTGAAGATACCCAAATTAGTTCCTTAGGACCTAGAGTGTTGTGGTAAATTGGTTTGGCAACTACAGGCATTCAAAAATAACCTGAGCAGCTAGAGCTGCTTTAATCCCATAGAAAGTAGACAGGAATATAAATATGCCAGATTAACATCTGAGGCAAACTAGCTCTGCATTCACTGGATTCAGTGATGCTGTACTGACTGAATCCATAGAAGCATTTGGCCTCGATATGCCCTAGAGAAACAATCTTTCAGAAATATAAACAATGCAAAACAATGTTGTCACTGGAAGCCTGGAACTGCTGCAAGTTAGAATTAATCATTTTTTTTGGTGTGATGATTAAGCAGCAGTGCTTGAATGCCAGGGAACTGGAAGCCAAAGAAAATATTCCAAGTTGGATTTGTTAAGCATGGGGTTTTATTTTAATGCACATTAGTCAGGCAAGTTCAGTCAAAAGTCGTATGTAAAATTATTAGATCTTGTGCAGGGGGTTTCTCATTTCTGTTAGCTCTTCTGACACTGTGGAAACCATACTGAGTAAGATACTGAACAGCTGAAGATGGTTGTGCTGGAGGCAGGTTATTTTTTTCCATGCATTTCTTACTGTGCACATGCTTGCTATTAGAATCCCACAAGAAACAACTTCCATTCTTAAAATCATAGTTTTGGGAAAGCAGCTCAGAAAGAGGAAGGGGGAAATATTATGATGAAGCCTCCTTTTTCTAACTTTCTTAGTATTACAGACAATGGATTCCATGTTGTCTTATACAGTAAATAAGAGAAAGGACCCAGCGGTAATGAATAGCGTAGTCATGCTAGAATGTAGTCATGTTTCTAACCCTAGGACTCCCAATTGCAAAATGTGCACACAACCTCAACACTGCCCCTTGAATGTATTATGATAAAGCCCTTAATTGCCTGATTGCTTATTAACTTTTTCACTGAACCGCATTCATTAAATGAATTAAAGCATGATTGAAACTGGAAATAGTAGTGTGTGAAGCCTAACAGGTGGTCCTTAGAATACTGGGAGTTTGGGCTCACATTAATATGGGCAACTTGAAGAGGCCAGGCAGCTCAGGGACCACGCAGAGGCTCCTGAACAGCATGGCTGAGGCTCCCGGTGACCAAGGGACCCACAGCAGTGGAGAAAGGAAAGGTCTAAAGCAACTAAAAAACTTGTGACTAATTGTAAAGACCATAGAGACAGGCTTCTTTGAACATAGGGTGAGCTGTGATCATACCTGAATGTAGTCTGGCAAGTGAGCTACCTAGCTGAGTGCCTCACAGAGCAGTTTGGCTCCCATTAGGTCCTCCACAAATATCCAGTGGCAGGTGTTTCACACAGAAGTATTGCCTTGTTCTCCTATCCTTGACATCTGTTATAAGATATGAAACTATATAGACTTTGATCTGACTAGGTAAAGCTTGTATTTTATTTTCTCATGACTCTATCCCAAGTGCACCAGACAGATTGGGCTGGGGCTTTACCCACTTTAAGTGTAGCAGATAAGCTAGGAAAGACAAGCTATTGCAGTTCCCTCCTCCTAGGAAGTGAAAGCAAAACAGACAAATGCATCTCTCTGCCCCTAACACCACGATACCTCTTTTCATGTGACTTTCATACCTCATATGCCAAGTAACTTCTGAAATCAAGTTCACATTCGTATCTGATTCAGTTACCTTTTTTCTAGATTGACCATAGATTGCTGCTATTTATAAGCAACCCTGTCAGCACTCCTATGGAAGGAAAGAGGAAACAAACACTTCTCAGTTCAGGTTCCCTCCCTATCCTGCGCAGACAATATCAGCTTTCAGGTGCACAGGCCTCTTGAACTGACTTTCACATGCACTGTTTTGTCTTGCATATAGGGGCAACTGATACTGGCACAGGTTGGTTCTCTGGCGGAGCCAT